AAAGCAGCTGCTTCTGTTGTGCTTTCATCCCAAGGACATTCATTTTCATGTGCATATTTTAATATTTTTAAATAACCTCTTCTGGCAGCTGCAGTAGGTGTACGTTTATCCCATTCACAGCCATTTTCAAAAGCATATTTTAAACATTCTAAATTACCGCTTAAAGCAGCTGCTTCTGTTGTGCTTTCATCCCAAGGACATTCATTTTCATGTGCATATTTTAATATTTTTAAATCACCTCTTATGGCTGCCCCAGTAGTTGTATGTTTATGACATTTACAACCATTTTCAATTGCATATTTTAAACATTCTAAATTGCCATTAGAAGCAGAGGCTGCTGTTGTGCTTTCATCCCAAGGACATTCATTTTTATGTGCATATTTTAATATTTTTAAATTACCTCTTTTGGCTGCCTCAGTAGTTGTATGTTTATGACATTTACAACCATTTTCAATTGCATATTTTAAACATTCTAAATTACCAATAGAAGCAGAGGCTACTGTTGTTCTTTCATTCCAAGGACATCCATTTTCATATGCATATTTTAAAATATGTAAATTACCCTGAATGGCGGCCTCATAAGTAATTCTATCATCCCATGGGCATCCTTTTTCGTGTAAATATTTTAAATTTTCCAGATTTCTATTAAAAACAGCTGTATAAGTTGTATCTTTATTGCAAGGATATCCATGTTTAAGGACATATTTAAAAATTTTTAGATTACCAGCAGCAGCAATGTTAGTTATAAATTGATTAAAATCGTATCCATTTTTGTGAATATATTTTAATATTTTTAGATGACCCTTTCTAATCGCACTTGTCGCAATTTTGAATTGATTCCATTTACAACCATTTTCATAAGCATATTTTAAACATTCTAAATGACCATTATTTGCAGCAGCTTCTGTTGTTTTTTCATCCCATTTACATCCTTTTTGAAATGCATATTTTAACAATTCCAAATTTCCGTTTTCTGCAGCTATTCTTGTCGTGTCTTCTTTTAATTGCCATTTTTGTTCGTCATTTGAATTATCATATTGAATTGCTAAATGAGAAAAATATTAATTAAGTTTTGCTGTAATAAAATTTAATATCTAATTAAGAAAGAGACATACAAATACAATTTTTATTTTTAAGGGCATCGAAAAATTGTGACTTTACATAAAGCTTAAGGTATTAGGTTTAGTCAAGTCTCTATTATTCGACTAGTTGTAGTTATAATAAATGAATATATTGCTATCTAAAAAATTATATATATATTTTGAATAGTAAAATATAATTGAAGCACTTTTGTATTTAGAAACCAAAAAGTACTCTGAAGTAGTCGTAGTTCACTTTAGACTTATCGCTGGATGGCGACTGCGACACACCTGCCTCTTCTCGTCCGACAGGTCACGCGACGCTGAGTGACCGTGGGTAACGCGAACCGGTTTGGCATTGCACCAAAAATATATACATATTACTTTTTCAACTACTTCACGGAAATCTATCGTGACACTTTTTATGTGCTTCCTTACGTGTATTGGTTTAAAATATATTGAGATTAATATTTAAACACTTTTTTACTATTTATTTTGTCACAAATATACCTTGATTACATTATTGGCGCATTCGAATAAGGAATTTTTTTCAGACTAAGAAGTAATTAAGCTAAGTGCTAAATAATTACAGCAATTATTATTTTTAGTACCCTTAGTGATATGCTTGCAAAATAGAGAACCTAAAGCTTTAAATGACTAAAAGTGTAGTAAGTTCTAGAATAAGAAATTTTTATGACTTAAATAATTATAAGATTATTAATTTTTGGGGTTAAGGTATATATAAGCAATAGTCATAGGCTTATTATACGGGAATTTTCTCTAACGTGGTTTGTACTAAAAAAAAAAATTAGGCAAAAATCAGCGCATTATCATCCCACTGACCTACTTGTTATTTATTTATATACTTGTGACTTTATCAACCAGTAT